AGTCTATGTGATCTTTGTGCAATGGACTGCGGTTACGACCGGGTCTGATTCCCTGACATTGGGTTTATAAAGTGCATCGATCGTGGTTCTTTAAATTCGTGCCCTAGCCAAACTGAAGAAGTGAGAGTCCATCGCCCCTTCCGTAGAGAATCGGGATAGCCTTGCCCTTGTTTGGGCTCCTTGCCATCGGTAGTGTGCATGTTTAAAAAGTTGATCCTTTAATTCTTGCATGCGAGTTTGTAGTTCAGCTGTCCTTTGTTCCTGCCCTTGCGAATTTTGCTCTCGTTCTGCGTTCACTAAGTCCTGCATGATTGTGACTTCCTGCTGGTATCTCTGGGCAGCCAAGTATTTCGAGTATTCGTTACTCTTTTTTACCATAAAAAATAGACCGTTATTAAACCAAGTGATTTGTGATTCTTGTTAAGGACGATGATCTTTCCCGAAGTCCCAGACCTGCTGTACGTACTTCCGGAAGGAGTTAGTTTTAAGTAGAGAGGTGTTTAATTTGTAGTAGGCGGCTCCCTGGTCTGGTCGTTTACGAAATGTCCACACCGCCATACACATCGTGTGGTCTAGCCAGGGTTATGGGCTAGTCGGTAGTATTGCTGTCACCCACAGCCCCCCTCCCAGCTCTTCTGAAGCTAAGATTAGATCTGAGATTTGGACAGTCTGGCGGGGTCATTGTTTTGGATGCAAGTAAAAACTCTTTTAGTGGGGTAACTACACCTGAAAGTGTCAAAAAACGAGAGCGGGACGCATAAGTCTCGCAACATCCGCTCGTCCTCCTCTGCATTGTGTGCGGTGGTGTGAGAGACTTTCCATTGGTCCAGCCACCTGTTCGGTGCAGCATTGAAGTCACCTGCTAGTATTAGTGGGACATCTGGGTAGGGATTGTTTCTATTTTTTCGAAAAAGGATCTTCTTTCACGGGTTGTGTTTGGGGCGTATATGAAAACTATGCACACGATTTCTAGTTCCAACATGTCGAACACTTCAACCCATCGTCCCTCCTCCTCGTCCTTCTCCCAACAAAGTACTTCAAATCGTGATTCGGGTGGGATCCAAATTGCAACCCCTGAGCTCCTCGGACAGGGGGCGAACGCTTGATAGCTTTGGAAGGACCAAGCTTGTTCGTGTGCCCTGTGGTGTTCTGGTGTGTCCATTAGGTGGGTCTCCTGAACGCAGACTACATCCGGCTATGATCTTCCCCCCACCCTCCTCATCAAATCCCATAATGCCTTGGTTTTTCCTGGGTTGCGGGACGCTAGGTTGTTTACATTAATCATTCTAATATCTAAATATGCTTGCTGTAGAATGCGTTTCCACTTTTTGTTCTTCCCATATACCACTTCTACCAGTCCATTGCGGGTTGTGATTGTGTACCCCCTGACCCTCCCCTATCTGTTTAGCAACTGCATCCATTCTTGTGTCTCCCAATCTACCCCCCTTGTTAAGGATGTTTTTCCTCAATATCGTGCAAATGCATGTGAGTAATTCATCGGTTGACCAAATATTGCTAGGTTTAAACTTTTGTTGTTGAGTGTCTAGGAGCGTACTGCGTTTTTGCCATTGCAACCCTGCCTCCTTATTTTCTTCGAATCTCACGTAGAGATCCTTGTAGGCCATCTTCAGACCTTCTGTTGACATGCTGATGATGGCCATTGCTCCTGGTTCATGCTGGCAATTAAGTCTGTAACTTCATGGGTCCTTAGTGCCCCTTCTCTCTGCATATGCCAACCATGTAGTGTCATTCCCCCATAGGCAGGGGTATATGGGTCCTCGGATTCAGCGGGTGACAGGCCCAGTTCCCATTTCCCAGTCTTCCTCCTAATCGGTAACACCAGTACCTTGTCTCCCTTCGGTAGGCTCTTGCGGTACAACCCTTTTTCAAAGGCCTGTTTCCTCTGCCTCCGCTGCCCCTCTTTCTCCCTGTTCGGTTTGAGCAGCATGCGTGGCCTGTTGTGTTCCTTCGTCCGGAGGTGGCTGGTCAGGAGGGTGTGGAGGGGGCTTGTCTGCCGTCGTGGGGGGCTGGAATTTTTTGTGTACAATACTCCAGATTCTGTTCAGCACTGGTTGCCAATCATTTTCCGGGGATAGGCCTCGGGTATGATACCACCTATTTAAGGCTGTTAAGTACACAACCGCTTCCCCCTTCTCCTTAGAGGGGCAATGCAGCTAGCTGTCGCTGCAGTATGAATCTGTACAAACAAGAAACCATGATGTTTAGGGACGCTGGACCCGGTTTCCAGCAGGTGCTGCTCCCCACCAATAGATGGAGCCTCCCCGACAGTGCTAGTGGAGTCTTCTCTTATCAGCACCCCTAGCACCGCCTCGGGCTTTTTTAATACAAAAAAAAAAAAAAAAAAAAAAAAAAAGAGCCAGTTTCAGACTGGGGCTCTCGTCCACCCGTGTATAGAACCTGGAGCTGGCCGATTAGCCATTCCGCCAGACCCCTTAGTCTTGTCTCAACATCTTCTACCCCTTGCGTCCCCCAGGCCTCAGGGGTGCCGTCCGTCATTTCCTCATCCGGGGGGGTTGCCGGTGGTTCGCAATCCATGGGTTGAGGTCCAAAGGCCTGAAAAAGGGGTCCCTTCCGGGGGAGGTTTCCTCGCTGGCGTGAGGCCCTTGGGACGGGTTCGTTTTGAGGGGTTCTTGACAAGAGTCCCCTGCTGTTCCCTCCCCTGAGATGTGTTGCCCGGTCACCTGATGGAGCCCCTCCCCCGGGCACATTGCTTTTCGCCCCCTTGTATCGTCCCACCTCCTCTCTCCCCTTCCTTCTTGGTCATCTGTCCACTCCTTCCTCCTCCTCCCCCTCCTCCCCCCTTGGACGCCCTTGCGCTGCTCCCTCCACTAGGTGTCTCCGGTCTTTCGTACCCCTTGCCTTTCCCTCCTCCTCTCATTTGTTCGTGCTGCCCCAGTTCCCCTGGCTGCTGTGCTACTAGTTTATCCCCTGCTTCTGTTGCCAGGATCTGGAATCCATTGTTGATTCCAGGGGTGGTTTGTTTGTTCGGACTTTTTACCTTTTTTTTTTTTTTTTTTTTTTTTTTTTTTTTTTTACCTTGTTTGTTGGGAGATGCTTTTTTCTTCGGGACTGGGATTTGCCACAGTTCCCCCATGTCTGCCGGGATGATAAAATCTTGGGGCCTGGGTTCTATCCGGGATACAGTCCAGGATTCAGTCCCCACTGTTTCTGCCGTGCTCTGTTGTCTGTTAATTAGACCGGAAGCTGCATCCCCGCGCGGGATAACAGTTTTTTTTTCCATTTTTTTCGGTAAGTAGTTAGTATGATCTCCAGTCTATGAATTGGTGGCAAGTTTGTTTAAAATGACCCTTGGGTTTTGTTAAAATTGAGGCTTCCGTTAACCGCTCCTCCCCGTGGCTGGGCCATGTCCGATTTTTTATTTTTTTTTATTTTTTTTAATGCCTGTGGCTGGGCCACGTTTTTTTTTTTYTTTTYTTTTWTTACTCTTTTTTTTTTTCCCGCACCCAAGATGTCTAGGCCACGCCTGTGGCTGGCCCACGGCCGAGATGTCTAGGCCACGCTTGTGGCTGGGCCACGCCCGAGATGTCAAGGCCACGCCGATGGGAAAATGACTGTTACCTCCCCCTTTTGCGAATTGTTAAACTGGCAGGACGTCGAAGGCATCATTTACTGTTTTTTTTTTGTAGTTTCGAACTGCACTGGGCCCGAACTTGCAGTGTACTGTTATTCCTGCAAATTACGAACTCTGCAACCATCACAGGCGCAGTTGTCTCTCTCTCTCTCTCTATATATATATACTGCCCGTGAGCCATAGGGAGAGAGGGGGCAGAGAGGGAGGGAGAAGAAGACAACAAACGAGGGGCTGTGACAAACTGTTGACTCATCAGGAGGCTGAGCCCTCCACAGTCTGCAGATTCCCCACTGATTACACTGTAAGTGATAATCCACCCTAACCCTGGTTGTGGTTAAGCATGAACGCCAATAACTGATACCCCCAGGTGGGCACCGCCCACTGCCCTCAAAAGTATTCTAGCTTAGAGCCTGTGGTGAGCATAATAAACCACTGCACAAAGATCAGTCGAAGTACTCACACAGACTCAAATGGACATACAGAGCACTGCCCTCAAAAGTATATGTGACTACAATCAAGGCACACTATCACTCACCTCTCTCTCTCTTTATATATGTTTACACACACACACACATATTTATATATACATATATACGTTTGTTGTCACTCTTCTCCCTCTCTGCCTAGGGTTCACCGGGCAGCTCTGTTTGACTATATATCGTCACAAACAGAACTGCCCGGTAAACCGTAGGCAGAGTCGGGTCTCGTGTAACGCTCTGGCGAAACCCAGCCTGAGGAACGGATGGGACAGGGTACGGGACTGGGGAGACGGCGCAATTTGTTGTTTTGGGGAACCGAGGCGTGCCTGCTAGAATGGGCAGAAAACCATTCGGCAGAGCGAGCCACGTGCCACGTGCTTTGCGTTGGTGCACTGCTGCGGCCGTTTGGGCTTCGGGCGCGTTGTCGAGGGCCATAGCGGGACGTCTATTGTTTTGCGGTCCATCCCGAAAAAAAATAAAAATAAAAATCGTTTTGCGGTCCGGTAAGATGCGGCCGCGCTCCACTACTCATCAAATGTGCAAAACGAGAATGAATCTTCCGCTAGAACATGAGAAGATACAGCGCCACAGTTTTTGTCTTTTGTGCATGTGGTGAATAGTGGAGCGAAGCCCTAGTTCAGCAGAGGGTGTCGGCCTGTGGGGGATCGTGCTTGCGGCTGTGGGCGTTTGCTCTCCTTGCTACCCGTGTCTGTGTCGGTCTGTGTCGGTCTGTGGAGGATCTGGTGAGTCGACGTCGAGAATTCATTCGACTGTTCGACATGAGGTGGACTGATCGGACGTGAGAGAGTTGGAGGCCACACAAGGACGCAAATCTCGTGCACCGGTGGCTTGTCCGTCCGACGTAGGGGAGGATGTTGCTCTGAGTCAGATCGGGGATCCCGTTGACTGCGTGAAGAAGGTCTGCCTCAGGCGTGGAAGGGCTATAACTCCGAAATTGACCGAGGTCGGACGTGGGAAAAAAACAGGAATACTGCTTACTGAGATGGCTGATCAAGGTACGTTCTCTTACTGTGTGATAATTGGTTGATTGATTGAGTGATTGGTTGATCGATTCATCTGCACTCGAGCATGCATGCATGCATGCAAATGTCCTCCACGTTTGTTCAATGTCATGTCGACGTAGGCTACACGCACGCGAGGATTTTGGTGGATGTATTGGACCGCTCTTCACGGTGCGTTCACGGCCGCAGATACGTTGAAAACGTCATCGTGATCGCGCGCACACACACACACACACACACACACACACACAGAGAGAGAGAGAGAG